TCTATCTATCTATCTATCTATCTATCTATCTATCTATCTAATCGCCAGCCCCCAACTAGGTCATTATGCTGTTCCATGGATTTCAGGTGTGTCCTCAATCCACTGTGTTTTTTACTTGGTGGGAAAATGTCCAAACGGTAAAGAATCACACCCATCCCACAAGTATGAATCCAGCTTCTTCTTCCCTTGGTCTCTTTGTCCCATCTTCTGCTGCGGCTAAACTCCCCTGGAGTCTTCGCAAATTCGAATCAGGACTGCAGGGTGTAACCTTGGCATAAGGCATATTATATGTTTTTCTTGAGGTTTTTTTTAAAAAGGTTTTCCCTAAAATGAACCACAGACCGTGAAATCAGAGGGTACAGTTTAACAGGGGGAAAAAATGGAGATTTGCTGAGTCAGCTCCTCTCTAAATTCCATTGATTCAGTGGGCCTTCTCTAGTTGTGACTTACTACTGGATTTCAGTCTTTACATACCTTGGTTCAGTCATCAATCCAATCCAAAAGGAGACTGCAGTCAAGATTTCAGAAGGAGACTGAGACTTGGGAGGGCATCTGTGAAATTTGATTTCCACCAGATTGCCAGCTATAACGGTGGAATATGATCCATCTTGATCACACTTAATATAGGACTAAAACTTGGAAGCCAATTTGTATATTGATATTTAACTCCTAATTTATTTTTTCATCAATTAAATTTTTAAAAATCAGCAATGTTGTTTTTGAGTATCTGTTATAATTTTTATTATTTAAATTCTTTTCTGACCATTTTTGGTATTTTAAAATTATTCATAATTTTACAGGTTTACAACTTAATTAGCAGATGAAGTGAGAAATTAATTTTACAATTAATAAATTTCTCATTGTTTTACTTAATCAAATCAACTTTCTTTAAAGATTTAACATTAATATGTTGCTACAAAAGGTAACATTCTCCAGTTTTAATATTGTTATTTTACATAGCAATAAACAGATGTATTAAGTGGGATAAAACTGGTAAAAGAAATGGAACTGTGTTAATTTCTGTTGGTTGTTAATCTGGCTTGGTTTGTATTAAGTAGTTGTAATCATTTTACAGGGGAATGGCCATGAAAGAGACTTCATGGAGGATAGAAGAGTGTACATTATGGATGTCTACAAGAGGTATATTTATCCAGGAGATGGATTTGCTAAGCGTAAGTAAATCATGTTTCCAAAATAAATGTGACTAGTTTAAAGCAAAATGTAAAACATAAATATAATTGAATACTGATAATGAAATTCAGTACTATACATCTCAGTGCTTTGTTCTGGTGTTTGAAATCTTGCCTGCGTGGTACATTATTGAGATCAGAGTAACAGGACGTCAGGGCCCTTGAATTAGGAATTAAAGAAGCAAAGCTGAGACACCACACTTAGGATTGTGAAGAAGTTTATGTGCAATTGGGAAAATAATTATTGGCTGTAGAGATGATTGCTTCTGAAGCCTGGGGCCTCAGATGTTCTTGGACTACAATTCCCAGAAGACCTAGCTATTTGCTATGCTGTCTAGGACAGAGGTCCCCAACCCCCAGTCTGTGGACTGGACCGGTCCCGGTCCGTGGCTTTGCCAGAACTAGACCAGAGAGACAAATCTCCTGCCCCCTACATGCGCAGACACATGCACACCCCTGCCACGCACGCACAGACTCTCCCACGCATGCACGACCCCTCCCACTTGGACGTTTCCCCCCCCTCCACATGCTAAACCTGTGGAAGCAAAAATTCTGGTCAAGGGATTTTGATGGTTGTACTGTAGTCCAAAAACCCATGGGCAGAAACCACTATTATTTTCTGCATACACTAGTGTGATTGCAGAAGTTGTGATGGCTAATTGAGGCTAACTAGTAAGGGTGCTTGTTGTATTTCTAGTAGCACACCCAGCACCTGACTGGGCATGGACCTGGCATCTCATTACTGAGCTTCATTTAGCTGCTTCACCTTTTGTGACTGCATCACTACACATGGGGGTACCCATGTGTAATGATGAACCAAACAATAAGATTTGGTTCTGGGGTGCCAAATTCAGGAACTGTAGGTTATGGACCCAGCTGTTAGAGATACATGTGCCTGCAGCACAGAAATAACTTAATTACTGCATGTTATCAAATAAAAACTTTGGTGTTATATAATTTTGAAGATAGATACATTGGTGCCATTTTCCTCCATTTGACAAAAGAGGAACAACTTAACATTCACGTGTTAAAATTAACATGTCCAAAAACCTGTCGCGTACCTCCAGTCGCATAACAGGAAGACTGCTGCTGTTTAAAGACTTCTCTTTTCAGTTTTTGAGTGTCCAGGGCTCACATATGATGATATGAAGTTGCATGTACCCAATATTGGAAAAACAAAGTCTTTCATGAGCCATTATTTCTAAACTCTGCTCTTATTTTTCTCCCCACATCAAACTTCTCCTGCTGTCTGATTTTTTTTTATAAAAATGTTTAGGAGCCATTCGGTGGAAGGTTGAATTGGACTGGGGCACAGAAGATGCAGAATACCTTCAGAAAGTCCAAGCGCATGTGGAATCTGCCTTGAATGAAGTGAAATCAGACATTGTTGTTTATAATGCTGGAACTGATATTTTGGACGGTGACCCCTTGGGAGGCCTGGCTATTTCACCTCAGGTTTGTATAGTGCAATACCAGTAGGATGCTTAAATCTACACTGATCCTCAAGTAGGCCAATGCACTACTTCATCTGATATGCTTGCAGTACCCTGTTTTATTAATGTGCTTGTTTTAAATTTTGGCTTTCTCTTGTTTTCAGTCTTGTGCTTTTGTTTTTTTTCTCCACCAAACCATGTTAATTGAAAACCCTGAAATAGCCACTTAGTCTTGTGCCCAGGTTTTGTTTGAGTTTTGTAATGCACATCTGCGCTTTGTAACATCCTGTAATCCTCCGGATCAAATGGGTGCCTCCTAGGTAACCTCAAAAATGCAGTATTATTGCAAACCAAATTCTGGCAGAAAGCCTGTTGTGCAGTTCCACAAGAGGTGTACGTTGCTGTACGTTAAGAAATGAGATTTGGAAATGTTTCTCTGGGGCACTGAATATAGGTTTCGATCCCTCTGTTACATTAAAGTTTTCAGTCTCTCTCTTTCAATTATGTTAGATGCCTGGCAGATCACTAATTGTCTTTTTTAGCCACTGAAGTTCCAATCTCCTTCATTCATTTTATCATGGTTCCTCCAGAGTAAATAGATTCTAGATTACAACCACTTCAACCACTGCTGTAGTACATACAGTAATTTGTAGAAACTTTAATGCCTTTTATTTAATATCAGTTGTAATATCCATACAGTGGCCGGAATCCTATTTTTGTGTAACTTGCTGTGGCTAATTGCAGTCAATTGACAAGGTGCTGGGACAAGTCTCAGTTGTGCAATCTGGCACATAACCAGGCATGCAAACAAAATGTACCCCAGAACATTATGGGTTAGACCCCATTACAGTATATGGCAAGTTCTCCTAAAAGATTCTGGCTATATTATGAAACCATAAAGGATGAGGCGGAGTGGAAACTGTGTGGCCCTCCAGATATTACTGAACGATCTGAGCCTGCCTGGATGTTAAGGGGAGGCCTTTCTCTCAGACTCACTACCCTTTCAGATTACACCCAGACTCTGGAGACTCTTCTGCAGTAAGATCATCAGGGGAGGCCTTTCTTTCAGACTCACCACCCTCTTGGTTGAGTTTGATGGGAACACGGATGAGGGCTGTCTCTGTCACTACACCCAGACTATGGAGACTCTTCTGCAAGACAGGTTGACCTCATCTCTGCTGTCCTTCTGCAAGCAGGCAAAGACCTTTATCTTCAGACAGACTGGGAGGTGATTTTAAATGGGAGTGTTGTCCCTTGTTTTTGAATGTGTTTTGGGGGTTGGTTTTGCTTACCGTTTTTGGGTGGCGTTTGTTTTATCCTTTTTACTATCTGTATACTTACTGTTTTTAGCTTTTAATTATTGTCTTGGATCCTTCTTAAGAAGAAAGGCAGGGTAAAAACAAACCAGTTACCAGCGTACTGCATGATTGGCCATTATGGCTGAGAGTGTTTGGAGTTGAGATCCAGCACCATCTGGAATCTTAACTTGGTTTTTTGGACTAAACTCCTAGAAAGTTAGTTTTTTGGACTAAACACCTAGAATTCCGGTGAATTTTAAGAGCTGTAGCCCATAACTGCGACTTCCTGAAGCTGCGATCTGGAGAGTTACATATTCCTCCTCCATCCAACAAGGTTTATGAGCTACAGTGAAATTTAATATGTGCATTCTGTTTCCTTTTTGTTGATGTTGTAAATGTGCAGGGCATTATCGACAGAGATGAAATCGTATTTAGAGCTGCTTGAAAACACAGAATTCCCATCTTGATGGTGATCTCTGGAGGCTATCAGAAGAGGACAGCACGGATTATTGCAGATTCTCTTCTCAACTTGCACAGCATTGGGCTGATTGACAAGGAGCTTGCAACTGGGGAAGCGAGAGATGCACAGGTAGAAATGATGAGCAGAGAGCCGAAGGACGCCCGTCCAGCTCGTCACTAAAATAGGACGTGTTGTCGATCATTGCATAGGATTGGAGTGACTCTCTAATTGTTTAATATTTAAACCTCAAGACAGGAAGTATCCACAGTTCTTATAGAATTAACAAACTCTAATGAGTGAAGGGGGTTCTTAATTCGTTAACACTGACAGTCCGGTGGAGAATACAAATGAATGGATGTTTCTCATGGCTTCTTCCAACACTTTTAAGTGCTGCTTTGTTAATGCAATCTGGACGCATGAACTGAGGGTACATACTCACATTCAGTGTAATGTAATACAAAAATACATTATTGCATTGATGTCTTCTTGTACAGTCAGTGTATAAGAAGACATTAATACTGTATCATTTTTGCCTCCCAGTGGCCTGTCCCTTTGATGAAAAGGGAGTCATGTATGTAAGATATGAAGAATGCACCAATTAAAGGGTGCAGCCTTTCTGCAGGTCAGTAGACCGCTTGATGCCTAGAGCAGGAGTATTTTGAGGAGGACTGTTAAGATATGTGTAGCCTGCATAATTACATTGTAAACCGCCCAGAGAGTGCTTGAAGTGCTATGGGGCGGTATATAAGCAGCATGCTTTGCTTTTTGCTTTTATATTGCAAGTGTGAAAACAGTAATGGATGTAGAACTACAACACAAGGTACTGTTTCATCCATTTCCAGACGATTTCCTGCAGGCAAAGAGCAAGCCTGTTTGAATGTGAGAATTATTTTTCTTTAATGAGTAGTTGATTATACTTAGCCGAAGGAAACACGTTTAATGTGTTCCTATGGGCAAAAAGCTCACCATTATGCGGAAATCCTCCATGTGGCTGCCATTTTCGCTGCCCAGTAAGCGAGGAAAGGGCGTAAAAACACAGCAGGCGGCCATTTTCTTTACCTGGCAGCCATTTTGGAACCGCCGATCAGCTGTTAAAAAACCATCGCTATGCGAAAATCAGTAAGCAAAACGCTTACCGTTCATCGCAAAGCGATGTTTTACCATTAGAAACATCGCAATACGATCACTTTTGCGATCGCAAAAAACACATCGCTATGCGGATTTGTTAAACGAATCACTCGCTATGCGGGGCACCACTGTACAAAGATCTAGGAAGTGTTAAACGCACAGATCTGTGCATGCAGCTCTGAATTATATTCACATATCAGATGAATAACTACCATGTTTATCATCCTTGGTGGAAGTGAGAAGTGTACAGTTACAATACCCCCGCATAGCGACGAATCCACATAGCAATGATTTTTTCAGAACGGAATATCGTCGCTATGCAGGGCACCACTGTATTTCGTCTCCAGAATGTCATAAGAAAGCATTGCTATCTCATTACTTTTTGTATTGTGTAAAAATTTCAGATTATGTTAAAGAGTTTTTAAAAATTTATTTTGGAAGGATACAGTAATTTAGTAAAAAGATAAATGAAATGAAAATGTATCCTAAAATTTTTTCTTAGGAAACGATGAAATCTGTAGTACAGTGGTACCCACTTAATGCTTACCCCCGCTTGACGATGAATCCGCTTCACGATGAAGTTTTTGCAATCGCAAAATGATGTTTGAATGGGTTTGTTTCGCTTTGCGATGATTGGTTCCCTGCTTCGGGAACCGATTCTTCGCATTATGACGATCAAAAACAGCTGATTGTCAGGTTTCAAAATGGCCACCGGGTGTACAAAATGGCTCCCCGCTGTGTTTAGGAAGGCTTTTTTTTGCAAGAGAGGGAGCAGAAAATGGCTGCCCTATGGAGGATCTTCGCTGGACGGAGAGTTATTCAGCCCATTGGAACTCATTGAACGGGTTTTCAGTGCACTTCAATGGGATTTTTTATTTTGCTTGACGAGGATATCGCTTAACAGCGATTTTGCTGGAACGGATTCGTCAAGCGAGGCACCACTGTAGATGCTAGCATGACTGAAAGGGCCTTAAGTTTTAAAAGGTATTTTATTTTATTATGTCTCTCAATACTGGATTATACAGACATATTAGCCTACATCTGATGAAAGTTCCAGGTAGAGTAGAACATGGACTTGTAAAGCAACCCTTATTTAATCCCACTGATTCAGTGGATCACCTATAGTTGGTACTAGCAACTGGATTTCAGCCTGTGGCCAAAATCCATGCAAATTGTGTAACTGTTTGGAGACAAGTTGCCCCAAGTTACGAAATCACCCTGGACATTATCAGTTGCATGCTAAGTCACACAATTTTGTATACAACAGAGAATGTCTATAGATAAAACCATTTGTGTTCTGCCGACAAAAGTGGGCAAGAGCATTTGGGTCAGAATCTTTTAAAAACCATTGCGACATCTGACTTTGATTATAGAGCTCTCATTAATATTAATGGGTAACATTATGTGGTATTACTGTATAATTTTATGAATAGAAGAGGTCCTGAGATATATATATATAAAATAATATTAAGTCATGCAAATAAGTTTAATGTGTGTAATATTTATTCAGTAGTTTCTTTAGGCATGTGGGCAAAAGTCCCATTTTCTCTTACAAGACACATATTCGTTTTGCATCCGTGTCATTAAATTACAAAAGGGAGTATTAACTACTTCTTTTTAAAATGTCAATACTTTCTAATATGAAAAATGATGTAATTTATAAAACTGAAGTCTGCATTAATTGGGGGGGAGTGTAGCTCATTTGTGCCCCTTGTTGCACTAGTTTTTATCAACCTTTATAGCTGAAGGCAATAGCTAAAACAGAAAGTGTGCCATACGAAATGTTCTCGTAGATATTAAATAGGTTAATTGAATTGTTGAAATAAGCTGCCAATTGCCTCTTGCCCCTGAAATGCTAGGGAATGCTGAGAGTGCAACTTAATATAATCACTTACTAACACTGCCTCATTGAAGTCAGTGGTTTTTGTTGATCTTGGAGTAAGTGAGTTTAGCAGGATGGAGAACCTTTGATCCACAGACTCTCTCCTACCGGTTAGCCAATCTCCTGTCTGTGATTCCTTTCTTCCCATATACTCCAGCTGTTTCTAGTATTCAGATGAGCAGTACACTGGATGGGGGGATCAGAAAGAGTAACGCAAACCTACTGTCTTCCATTTACTGCTGCAGCATTTGCTGTTTAGTTGAATAGCAGGAAAATAGCTGAGAAGCTAGGAAAGGGGGTGGGCACGTGCCCCATGAATGCAGGGGTCTGTGATTCCTTTCTTCCCATATACTCCAGCTGTTTCTAGTATTCAGATGAGCAGTACACTGGATGGGGGGATCAGAAAGAGTAACGCAAACCTACTGTCTTCCATTTACTGCTGCAGCATTTGCTGTTTAGTTGAATAGCAGGAAAATAGCTGAGAAGCTAGGAAAGGGGGTGGGCACGTGCCCCATGAATGCAGGGTTCTGGCTGGGACCAGAAACAAATGGGTGGTCTCTCGGTCTCTCTCTCTCTCTCTCTCTCTCTCTCTCTCTGTGTGTGTGTGTAGGAACTGATGAGAGTATGTAGATGACATCAAATATGGTTAACTGATTTTGGACGCTTCTTCAATGCATTCAGTTTTCTGTGGATATGAGGGATTGTTCCAAAATGGATGTTAGTTTTGCACAAAATACTGTCCTCAGAAAGGCACACAGATACCCAGGCAGGAAAAGATTATTTGTTGGCTCCTAGATGTTCACAGGTAAAGTGGCAGGGTGTGACATGAGTATAGGATGTTTTTGTGTCTAAATACTGGAATAAGCTCTTCGTAGGAGAGAGGAGGACCTGCTGTTTGGGTAACAGCCTATCCTCCATATTACTTTACCCAGGGTTCATGCTCTGGAGAGGACACTCCTCGATACAGAGCACATTACCATAGTCTCTCGAGACTGAAGGATGCCTATGATGATGAGCATTCGAGTAAAGATGTAACAGAAATGCTTTAGTAGCAGAAAAAAACCAGCTTGTGGTGATTTTTTTTTAGAAGTTAATTTGACACTTTGGACTGATGGCAATATTATCTTCAAAAAGCACTTTCATTATAATGTTTAAAGTACTATTAAAATCTTGATGTATTTTTTATCTTGCCTAATGTGTTATCTGGAGTTATAATTTGAAATAACTTTTATAATGTTTACATTTGTATCCATTAAGTTTAAACACTGTTAATTGTCATGTAATAAACTAAAAATCCTGATTATATTTAATGTTATTTATGGATCAAATTAAAATAATGCTAATTTTTTCCTGAGTATTTTTTTCTTTTTCAATATTTTATAGATAACAAAGCACCTCTATTTAATAATACATAAGCATTCTAGAAACGTAGTCCATACTTACATACTTAGCTGTAAATTCTGGTTAACTCAGTAAGTTACTTCTGATCAGATACGCACAAGAGTACAGTGCTTAAATACGTGTTTTTTAACAATGGAAACCAATGCAGTTTTATTCAGAAGTACATTCCACTGAATTCAGTGCAATTTACTTCTGAATAAACAAACTGCTGGATAGCTCAGTGGTTTAGGGAGGTTAAGGGTTCAATTCCCAACTGTGCCTCTTTGATGGGCTGAACTCAGTGATCTATATGGTCCCTTCCACCTCTGCATTTCTAAAATAATAAAAAGCATGCATAGAATTGCTGTCTAAAGCTGTGAGAGACAGAAAACTGAGGCAAACGTGCACACATTCTTTCAGTTCCTTTCATTATTAAACTTTGTGGAAGCCAAAGGAAGACACCAAATAACAGCAAATTTATACAAAGCCTTCTTTGCTCAAAATGCTCAAATTACTGTTATTTTGATCTTACCTACTTTGGGGCTTTTCTGTTCTTCTCCCATCCCATGATGTTTGAACTACTATGTAATAACAAGACTTATAGAGACTAAAACAAGCACAGCATTTTAGCTGGTCCTAATTAAGCCAATGTCCAATTATGGCTTTTGTGTTTTTTTTTAATTATGAGCAACAACAACTGGGTTTGTTTGGTGATTTAAATGTAGGTGTTTTAGCTGGTGTTGCATGGGAAAAGGATGTACTGTATACGGACAGAATGCTTATTGCATGGAAATTTATGCATCTCTATTTAATGATGCAGCAAAAACAAGAGTTATTGGCCTCTTACAGAGGAGATTTAGCCTGCTCTTGTGAACTATAGTCCCATTCCTCAGCTGCATGTGAGGAAGTGGCCAATGCCAGGAAAGCTAAAACTTCTTAGGCTTTTGAGGCACCACAAATTTCTTCATTTCAAGAAATCTCCACTCACCACACAATACTTGCTTTTGTTCTGCACAATCCCTTGACCAAACGTCTTGTTTACTGGCATGTATACTCTTTGCCAGGCCCTCCTGTCTTCCACTGCCTCCCAGAGTGGAAGACAGGAGGGCCTGGCATTTTCTAGTCCATGGGGTCATGAAGATTTGGACACGACTTAATGACTAAACAACAACAAAATACTCTTTGTGCCTGCTTATCACAAGAAAAGGAGATTTTTGGATTAGTGAAGAATATATAAAACAAAAAAACAGAGTCTACCTTGCAGTCAGCTATCAGCTTTACATTCCTTCCTTCCCAATCCAAAGGACTTGTTGCAAGACGCAAATTAAAACGAAACTATAACTCAAATAGTTATAAAAAGGCAGGAGGGCCTGGCATGCTCTCGTCCATGGGGTCACGAATGCCTGGACACGACTAAACAACTAAACAACAACTCAAATATTCATTTTGAAAACTAAGAAAACAGCCTCCTTCATTAACCCAGCTGAAATGTCAGAGGCCTGCTTGAATAAGGGACTGGCAATCAGAAGGAAAACAAGGAGGGGGCAGGGAGCTCTCGAACCCACTGGGGCTGAAAGGGGACAGAGGAATACAGTTAATGAGTCATTAGAAAC